AAGTTTAATATTTTGATAATAATTATATGTGTTTGACTTTTCAAGGAATTAAATATCTTTTTTTTTATTATATTATATTAAAGTTTAATATTTTGATAATAATCATATGTGTTGGACTTTTCAAGAAATTTTTTTTATGCTTGTTCTTAATATATTAAAGTGTTATTATGAGGGATAATAATCATATGTGTTGGGACTTTTCAAGGAATTCATGTGTCGGATTTCAAAGAATTTTTTTTATGCTTGTTCTTAATGCATTAAAGTGTTATTATGAGGGTAAGACTTGGGGGTTGGGAGCAGTTAATAAATGCTAAGTTTTTTTTTTTTGTTAAATCAAAAAATCAGAAAATTTAGATTGGGAGATTGGAGCTCCCACAAGGCTTGGGGTTAAAAACCCCCTTTTGCTTAATATATAATATAGAAGTATAGATACTAGCCTATCACCCGTACTGTCACGACCCAAACCCGCCCCTATGGGTTTAGCACCGTAACCGGCCAGTAATCCAAGATTACCGAAGGCCTGCTTAACAGTAATACAGTAAAACAGAGTACAGGAGCATGGCGGAAGCCAAAACAGTAAATAAACAATGTCCAATGAGCTGTGACAGTCTGTATGCCAAAAGACTTTTCATACACATATACACGAACAGTACAGAACAGTATGTACATATGTACAATCATTCAGTTCAGGGACCTAATCCCTATTAAACAGTACAGTACAGAAAACAAAATGGTTACAGAGACAGAAAGGAGAACTAAAACACCCCTAAGCCATAACTTGACGGGCTCGGAACCTCGCAGTGAGGCACAGTGGTTGGCTTGACAAAACTAGAGCTTACCCCGACGCTTCTAGCCACGGTCTGGTGCCTGTACATCGACATATATATATGAGCAGTGAGCTAAAGCCCAGTGAACAACATAATGCGTAAAGGGGTTAAGAATGAATGTCCTTATAGTAATGAAAACAGTTCGTTAATTCGGTATATCAGTCATTCAGTCATATGCGGTACATCCATTAGCATAACAGTAAAGTAAACAGTAGGTCTTAAAAGACCGAACAGTAAATGATGGCCATCAATCAGTAAACAGTAGTGGTTCCAACAAGGGAACCGACAGAGATCTCTGTAACAGTAACAATAAACAGTGGTTGCTAAGGATGCCACAATACAGTTTAGAATATAGGACATACATTCATTCAATTAACAATATCAGTTCAGAAAGCAGTACAGTTCAATTGTTCAGAAGATAATCATTTTGAACATATCTTTACACAGTTGTTACTCACAGAGTTCTGGGCTACAATAAAGCTAGAGCGCGTCCCCAGTCGCCAACCCTACACAGTTACAGATTGAACACACACTAAGCTACACAGTTGGGAAAGATAATAACTTAATCCCTAATTTGCCTCGGTGTGTTCTACATCTATATCCTCGTTAAGATGCCTTAAACTAGGCCTAATAATGCCTAGGATAGGATGAGGATGCAAAGATGCACTTTAAAAGCATTTTCAGAATTTTCAGAAAACAGGGGTCACGCTCGAGCGTAGGTTACTCCGCTCGAGCGGTCATGCAGACAAAGCTTTCCGCTCGAGCGTAGACTTACCCGCTCGAGCGTTCTGCAAAACAGACAAAGGTGCTGGATAGGTGAAAATCACGCTCGATTGGGCGCTCGACACCCGCTCGAGCATGAGACACAAAGTCCCGCTCGAGCATCAATTATTCTGCTCGAGCGGACTTCAAAATAGTGCAAAGTACTAAGAGCACAAATTTCACGCTCGAGCGCTAGTCACCCCGCTCGAGCGTGAGTTCAAAATCTGGAATTCTCGGATTTGAACCTCAAGCTCAAATTCAACATTTAAAGCATAAATTTCGATCCTCTTGGGCCAATTTTCCAGAAAACATCCCAAAACTCATAGTTTAACATGATTCCAAAGCTCAATTGTAAAATCAAAGCCCAAGGGTGTTTCAAACAACTCAACTCAAACCAATTTTTCATGAACATGCTACAACCAAGACATGCATGAAATCCAAATCATTTCAAAGCTTCAATTTCATGCTCTAACGAGCCAATTGTTCCAAAAACAAGACGAAATCATGGACTTAAGCTTAATTATGAACATGCATATAACATTTTACCATAAAATCAACTCACAACTCACAATTCAAACATGCATGCATGGAATGAGCTCCAATTCAACAATTTAAAGTTAATTTATGCCCTTAATCTCTAAACTTCCATAAACCATGCAACATATGACTTGATTACATGAACAAGAAGGTACAATCTCTACCTTAAGTCTTCGATTATAAGAAGGGAAGCTCAATTATGCAAATCTCCTACAAGTTCTTCAAGTCACCAAGCTAAATGTGTTGAAATCACTCTTTCCCTCTCACTCTCTCTCTCTAATCGGCTATAGCTCACAAAAGGGTTGAAGAAAATATATGCAATGTATATGACCAAGTCTCACAAGTGCCTAGCAAGTGGCCCTCTAGGATGGCAAATTTGTAATTAAGCTAACTATTGCAATTTAACTCATCTTAATCCAATTTAATCATACCAAATCACATTTTAGATAAATACACCATAAAATCATATAAATTCCAATGAACACAAATCGTCAATCAATTTCAGATTCGGCCGCCGATAAGGCCTTCAATTCGCAATTTAAACACAAAGGCATGAACAGATAATCAAACAGTCAACAGATAGACATACAATTAAACAGATATACTTAGTCAATTCAGTTCCAGATTTCAGTCAGTCAGTTCAGTACTTCAATCAATTCAGTTACCAATCATAATCAGTCTCAGTTTAGCAGTAATCGGTAGTTAATCGGTAAATAGTGGCGATGGTTGTTACACATGCTATGCACGAGATAATTATAAATATTTATATTTGTTTTAATTTTTTTAATATATAAATTATATATTTTAAGATTTTTTATAAAAATAATTTAACAATTTTATCACTAACCATAGTGTACAGGAGAAATTAAAAAGGCTACTGCAGTAACTATGCACAGGTTGTATCTATAATTATTTATATGAGGGGATTGTAAATGCTAATCAAGTATTTTGACCAAATCAATAAATGCAGGCATATGGATTGAAAAAAGTTAATAAATGCTGATCATGGGATTTTAAACAAATCAATAAATGCTGAGATTTTTTTTTTTAAATCAAGAATTTAGAAAATTAAGATTGAGATATTGGAGCTCCCACAAGATTTGGGGTTTAGAAACCCCCTTTTCCTTAATATATTTATAATTATCTATATATATGAATTGCGATTTTTAAATGTCTTTTTTATTATTTTAAATGTCTTCTTTTTTTCGTTTTTTATATTTTTTAAAGTTTAATATTTTGATAATAATCATATGTGTTGGATTTTTCAAGAAATTAAATGTCTTCATTTTTTTATTATATTATATTAAAGTTTAATATTTTGATAATAATCATATGTGTTGGAATTTTCAATAATTTTTTTTTATGTTTTTTCTTAATGCATTAAAGTGTTATTATGAGGGATAATAATCATATGTGTTGGACTTTTCAAAGAATTCATATGTGTTGGATTTTAAAGAATTTTTTTCATGTTTGTTCTTAATGCATTAAAGTATTATTATGAGGGTAAGACTTGGGGATTGAGAGAAGTTAATAAATGCTAAAGTTTTTTTTTTTGAAATCAAAAAATCAAGAAATTTAAATTGGGAGATTGGAGCTCCCACAAAACTTGGGGTTAAAAACTCTCTTTTGCTTAATATATAG